TGTACAGCAGCCTACTGGTGATGAACGTAGTGCTGAAGCGTACATCAGTCCGGAACGTGTGCCTGGTGGGCAGTGTGCTACAGTTTCTGGGCATGTCCCTGAGTAGTCTGGCCACAGAGGCGTCACATCTCATCGCCACTCAGGGACTCCTCTACGGTCAGTAGACTTCACCAGATAGCATAACAGCTGATAAATAACAGCAGCAACAACCACAACAGCAACAACAGCAACAACAACACCAGCAAACAGTAGCAACAACAACAGCAACAATAGCAACAACAACAACAGCAACAACAACATCAGCAAACAGTAGTAACAATAACAACATCATCAACAACAGAAACAGCAACAACAACAGCAATAACAACAACAACAACAACAACAACAGCAACAATAATAATAACAGAAACAACGGCAACAACAACAACAACAATAGCAGCAGCAACAACAACAACAACAGCAACAACAATAACAACAAAAAACAACAACAGCAAAAACAACCCCAAAAAAGGAACAATAATAATGTTATCTTAACTGATATTATTTTATGTTAAGTTATTTTTTGTTATGTTATGATTTGTTATGTTATGGACACGATAGCCCTAGCTGGAAAAAAGCAGGGCAATGCACTGGGACGACCAGCAATGGCATGTTTGAGAAATTGTTGTGCATTGGTGCGATATCGTGTGTTTTATTTTTTATGTGCATATTTGTGTGTTTGATTGTGCATTTATGTATGTATATTAATTGCTAGTGTAACTCATGTTTCTCCATGGAAATCAATGAAATGTAATTTATTTATTTTATCTTATCTTATCTTATCTTATCTGATCTTACCTTTATCTTATCTTATCTTATCTTATCTTATCTTATCTTATCTTATCTTATCTTATCTTATCCTGTCTTACCTTATCGTATCTTGTCTTATGTTATGTTATTTTATCTTATCACATTCACATTCTACAAGCCTACGTTCATGTCGTTGTAATCGAGTTCAGCACCGCTGTAACCGAGTTCTACTATTCAACATTTCACGTTGACAGGCTGCGGCCACGCCCTGTTGTACTGTCCAGTCCTGGTCATCCTGAGCCAGTACTTTGACAAGAAGCGTCCTATCGCCACCGTCATCTCTACGTGCGGGACCAGCGCCGGCGGTATCGTCTTCCCAATCATCACTCGATACCTGGTGGAGGAGTACGGGCTGAGAGGCGCGCTGCTCCTTCTGGCTTGCTTCAGCCTACAGCAAGCCACGTTTGTTGCTTTAATCACGCCACCAAGTGACTACTACTTCGCAGAAAGCTTGTCTAAAAACGAAGAAGAGACGGTGGCTGTAATAGATGAGGAGGATATTCTTGAGAAGATCCCTCTAGACGAGAATTTTGTTGTATGTTCTATTAAAGAATGCGATAGCCGTGATGTAGAGAGGACGGATCTTCCCCTTCTTAACGGTCGTCTTGATGAGAGCAGTGATGCTGTTCTCGAAAGTGGTATGTTTGATGATGTCAACGAAAACGATGTGAAGGGCGTTCTTTGCCTCAACTCCCACACAGACAACCTTTTAGATAGACAGCTCAGCTCCTCAATACACAGTCGTCAGTTCGGATCTCTGCCGAACAAAACGGATGTCCTCTCTCTGACAACTCAAAACAACGCGGAGAACGGCAAACATACTATAGAAAACGGCTTATCTTATGAGAGAACAGACGCGGGGCATCAGAAAAACGGTAAGCTTACTATAAACGGCCAAACACACGAACTGGCACACAATGAACAGTCTCACGAGTCTAGGTCACATAAGACGCATTCACACAACGGCCCCTTGTTACCCTCTACTCGAAACATAATAGCATCATCCACCAGCCGCTTGAGATCCGAGTCGGAATCCTCCAGAGCAAACAATAACAATCTACCCCACTCCCTGAAGATGTCGCTTGACCAGCCTGTAGGGTCCCTGGGCTCCTCGCAAAGACTGACCCTACACGAGAGCGCGCTGCACGCCAGCAGTATTGACCTGTACAGCAGCCTACACAGCCTGGCTCTCTCGGACAGTGGTCAGCAGGTGTCCAGCCCCGCCCACCCTCACAGACGGCGCTCTCAACAGCAGGAGGTAGAGCTTCCGCTCCACAGGTAGGGGGACGACGGCCTTTCCTTGTTGTTGTTGTTGTTGTTGTTGTTCTTGTTGTTGTTGTTGTTTTTGCTATTGCTGTTGTTGTTGTTGTTGCTGTTGTTGTTGTTGTTGTTGCTGTTGTTGTTGTTGTTGTTCTTGTTGTTGTTTTTGCTATTGCTGTTGTTGTTGTTGTTGCTGCTGTTGTTGTTGTTGTTTTTGTTGTTGTTGTTGTTGTCGTTGTTGATGTTGTAGTTGTAGTTGTTTTTGTTTTTGGCGTGGGTCGGGCATTCTATTTTCTTCTTTAAGCTTTGAACTGTTTGTATACGTGTATGTTTGTGTTCATACAATATATATGTCTACATCTATACCTGCAGGGCGAGAAAGGCAATGATGATGGTCTATCTATCTATTTATCTATCTATCTATCTATCTATCTATCTATCTATCTATCTATCTATCTATCTAT